GAGGCAGAAGGTAGCGGCTGTCGGCAGCGCGGAGCTCGGTCTGGCTGCCGCCAGCTTGGCTGCTGGCTGCGGAGCCTGCCGTGAGAATATCTTTGATAAGCTCTTGGGTTTCTTTAGTCAGTACGTCGTAGGGAAAAAAAACTTTGGAACCAAATTCTTGGAACTTTTTGGGAAACTTTTGAAAAAACAGAGAAGAAAGTCTGAATGCGTTTCTGGAACACTTTCAGAACCAAGAAGGAGTTTTCAAAACTAAGGCATTGCTGAAACCGCAAGGAAGTTCTGGCATATTTCTCTCTTTCTGTTTTGCTGACACTTAATATAGATGAAATACTTTTCCGATTTTCCTTAATACAAGCTCAAGCTAAGGAAACTCACTTACAAAAACCCTTTTTGTTTCAATAATAAGTTCTCAATATGAAAATACAACTATGCCCAAATACACCTTTCTGGAGTGTTCCACCTGATGGTTGCTGGCGTTTACAACTAGAAGGAGAAAAAGGATTGTAAACGCTATCACTTAAACTATTGTTCTTAGGCTTTAGCGTCTTATCTGTAGCCATTTATCTAGATCTACATACAGCTATGTAAATTAGGTGCTGTAGAATTTAAAGTACTTAGATACAGGAAAATATGATTTAGATAGGAAAAGCATTATTTTAAAAAATATTTATGCATGTAATAAAAACTTAATGATTTATTATACTTTTGAAGGTGGTTGTTGGAGATCAGGATGGGGTCATTACATGTTTCGGCATAAAAAAAGGGGAAGCTGTGGTAAGTGGAAATGTTCCATTTAAAATTTTATTTTTTAAATAGTCTTCCTAATGACCTTTGAAAGTCTGTTTTTATTGACATGGGAAATAAGGTACCTGTGGAAGGTGTCTAGGTAGAGCTGAGGACTGATACCTGGCCGTGATGAGGGCGTGCTGATTTCATGCCTGGACAAGCGCATGGTCCTCCACAGTTGTAGGGTCACTAGTGTATATCATTGACACCGAGTACAAAGGAATATTGAAGAGACATATGGTTCTCTTTACTGGACATAATGTAGCCAAGCTTGACATACTCTGTGAATAGATAAGCTAAACGTTCAGTAGGGGTATACTCTGTGCAGTAGGGGTACACTCTGCGAATAGATAAGCTAAACATTCAGTAGGACAGAAGACCTTGAGACGTTGTAGATGAGGAGGTGATGCTGAAGGTTTGATGCTAGTTTGTGAAGGTAAAAGTGTGCAAACCGAGCCACAGAACAAACTGTGCATGCGCAAGAACGGAGTTCAACTAGCGGTCACGGTGAGGAAGACTATCGACGACCACCGGCGGACCCTGAAAGACCACCAATGGACGTAAGAGCGCATGCGTTAAAGACTTTTTACATAAGTTAATGAAATAACATTAATATGTTAATCATGTCTCAGAAATCTAATGAATATATATATTCTGATTGTACTTAACTCCTATAGTTAAGCAGCTCAGCGCGCACATTAGGTGGAGTGATCCCCTGTGCGCCCGGCGCCGCAGTAAAGAATGCCTACTTTCTAAAACTCCAAATTGAGTCTTAAGAGAGTTTTTCATCTGCCAACTTACGGTAACATCATCACAGAAAAAGTCAGTTTAACACCTTTTGCTTTCCAGTTCAGTTGGGCTTAAGCCAGTTACTGTGACTGGACAAAAACCTGCTGTGATGCACTAAGTCAGTCGCCTTAGAGGATTTTGACAAACTGGTTGCTTTTTATGAGCCTAGACTTATGCCCAGCTTAATAAAAATTTATCTTCCCCCCCCCTTGGGGAAGTTCATAGCCAGCTTATAAGGACTCTATAGCAATACAAAGAGATCTGTGTGGAATAAGAATGCAGCATGTACAAGTGAGCGAGTGCGTATGTGTGCGCGTTGTTCTTTAAAAAACCCACAGCACAAACAAAACACAGCTACCGGCAGTGCTGAAATTTTCCTATGGATGAATAACACTGAAAGTATAAAGTCTTAATTTGTTATATTTTACAGCTTTTTATATTCATTGACTTATAAAATGCTTGATTGCTTTGTGATTCTGAAGAGAAATGTACGGATTATTTTTGTCTGCATATAATCCATAGCATCTTAGTTTTGCCAGAAATTGTAAAGCAAATTTATTATCCTTTATGTTAAAAGATTACCATAAATATGATATTGTGATGATGAAAACTGCTTTTCTATTTACAGCCAGTGTTCAAGACGCTGCCAGGCCAAAAAATTGCAAGATTGGAGTTGGGAGGAGCTCTTAATACACCACAAGAGAAAATTTTTGTGGCTACAGGATCAGAAGTTAAAGGCTTCACAAAAAGAGGGAAGCAGTTTCTTTCATTTGAAACTAACCTTACTGAAAGCATCAAAGCTATGTATGTATGATATTTTGCATTTTTTTTCATAGCCAGAGCAGATCATTAGTTTATGATTTTATGAAATAATTTTTTACCGTATTGCGTGCTTGTAGGTAACACTGAGTGCCAGTCCAGCTTTAGCTTGTGCCAGGACATGTAGGAAGGTACTTGGAAAACCATGGTGAAGTTTAGAAAGTGTAGGGGGGCTTGGGAGGGGTCTGGAGGCACTCACATCAGTGCAAATGCAGGTGAGCAGAGCTGGGGTTATTGCCACAGTGCACCATGTCCATATACCCTTCCTGTGGCAGAACAGGAACAAGTTTTTTATTTTCTTTTTGGATCATGTCGTAAGATGCTGCCACATATAAACCGGCTTGAGAAGAATTAATATCATAGAATCATAGAATAGTTTGGGTTGGAAGGGACCTTTAAAGGTCATCTAGTCCAACCCCCCTGCCGTGGGCAGGGACATCTTCAACTAGATCAGG